ATAAGGAATCCTACTTCGCGGAATTTCATTTATCACGGTAGGGTCTAGAACCGATTAACTGCGATAAACGAGGGTTCACTGTACTCCTCTGGTTCCTTGAGGCTTCCTCACCCCCCACGACCATGACCCCAGTGCTGCCTCCACTTCAGACTAGAACAGAGCCTGCGCACAGGTACAGATGAGAGATCAGAGCTCACGACACACGGAGTCCAGGCACCGGAATGGGAATAGCAATACTAGGAGAGCACGGAGAAGAGGGCGTAGAGGAGGGAGGGGGAACCAATCGTAATGATGGACACACACCCTCCAGGAGGAAAAGCAACAGAAACCATGGGGGCAGGGAGACAGAGGTCAGTGTGAGATACGAAAATAATAATTTATCATCCATCAAGGGGTCATGAAGGTGGGGCGGGGAGGAAGAAAGAGGGCTCAACAGAAAGTAAATGTCTAGAAAAGAAGGAAGGCAACACATGTACCAATATGCCTGATGCAATTGATGTATGGGTTGTAATAAGAGTTGTAAGAGCCCCCAATACAATGATCTTTTGATTCAAAAAAGGTCCACAGCCTGGGAAGCCCACGCGGCAGTCATGCCCAGCCCCACCGGGTCGCTGGAATGGGAGCGGACTTGAAATGAGTCTGTCCGGCTCTCAGGTGGCCTGATCCTGGATCCACAGTTGCTCACCTGAAGGACCCCCGGTGTCTCCATCCGCCAGAGGGAGACACCTGAAGGACCCCCGGTGTCTCCATCTGCCAGGGGGAGACACCTGAAGGACCCCCGGTGTCTCCATCCGCCGTGACAGACACGCACTGTCTCAGTGCCAAAAGGCAGATGCTCGGAAGAGGAAGATGACAAGGATTGTGCAACTTGAACGTTGTCCCCGAAACTGTCATTGGGGCTTGTCCCACCATGCCTCTTCCCCCGTAACAAATGCGAGGGAGAACATTTACAGTTCTGAAAACAACGTTGGCCGAGCAAATCGCCTTCATTTAGAAACGGTGTCGCTGAGGTTAGAAAACTTGGAAAATGAGAAACAGACAAACACGGTCAATATCTCACTCACACGTTAAAGCCAAAGACACGAGCCCTCTCTGAAGACACAAAACAGGAAGCGGAGGGACCGAAACGATTGTTTTTCTCCATCATGGTTGGCTGACCCACACACTTTCAATCCGTTTGCGGCAACGGAGGGAGACGTGATTACCGTATAGACTCGTGTGCAAGCCGAGCTTGACAGCACATTTGAATGGAGTTTTTGTGGTAAAATTAGGTGCCACGGCTGATATTCAGGTGGGCTTATACTCGAGTCTATACGGTAACATAGCTACGTTTTTCTAGGTCCAGGAAAGAAAGTACTGAGATAACTAAAAGACGGACAAACAACAACAAAAAAGCAGCTTCTGCAGGCTCATGGCGCCGAGACCTCTTTAAAAGGTTGGTGAGCAGAGCTGTCCCCTGAGGACCCAGGTGTGCCTGACTCAGCCACGGTGTTCTCAATCGTCTCCTCTGCACGTGAAAGCCGGACACTGAGTAGGGACCAAGGAGAGCCAGTGGCCTTGAACGCCGGTGCTGGGGACGAGACGGGAAGCACTGGGCACTGCTGTGGCCGGAGGTGCAGCCAGAGCACCACCAGGTGCACAACTTCGGGCAGGTTGTCAGGAGGAGGGCAGGTCTGTGGAAAAGGGCCTCGTGGTTGGGACAGTAGAGGGGCAGGAAAGGAGGAAGACCAGGTGGACTGACACAGTGGCTGCTGCCACGGGCTCAGACAAAGTGAGGGTGAGCCGGACAGATGGAGGACCGAGCGGTGTTCTTTTGCCCGTGCGTTGGTGTCAGTTGGCGCTGAGTAGATGGCGTCTAACAATCATCATAGGAGTTACAGGCAACCCGTGGTGTCCCTGGGCCCTGTAGCTGTGTCTCTTTGTCGCGCGCACGTGTGTGTGTGTGTGTGTGTGTGTGTAGAAAGAGATTTACATCAGGAAATAGTTCACACCGTTGTACAAGTTGGTCAGTCCTGTCCAGTTCAAGTCCGTGGTTCAGAGTCAGCCAGAGGCCTCTCCTGACTCCAGCAGCTGCGGGGCCGACAGACAGAAGCAGGAAGACGATGTAAAAGGAGCACAGGCTGGTGGGTACAGAGCTGAATGGATCCAAGGTTGGCAGGCAACCTAGGAGCAGGCCAACAGACCAGCTGGGGGACCCAGATCCAGCTGTGGAAGTGAGCTAGCTTCTACACACTGTCAGTCTATGCCAGGGGTGTCAAACTGGTGGCCCAGGGGCTGCATGTGGCCCCCGAGGTAATTTTTTTGGTGGCCCACAATACTCTGAAATAAAATGTCATGAGGGAATTGCGTGTACGGTATTGCTTCGATCTCCGCGAAGCGCTATTTTCTTCATAACAATTTTTTCTATTTTCATCTTATTTCAGAGCATCATGGGTCACAAAAAATTACCTCGGGGGTCCTCCAGTTTGATACCCCTGGTCTATACAAAGAATAGGTTGCACCCTAACTGACACCCCCCTCAATCACACCAGGCCCGTGACCTCATTAACTGCTTGGCTGCCTCGCGGAAGTTCTCATCCTGGAGTTGGCCACACGACGACGTTAGACCATCTCCTGGGATAATCCTGGCCCACACCAGCCAACATAAACCAAAGTCACCGCTACCCAGTCAATGCCCATTCTTAGCAACCCTGTAGGACAGGGTAAAACCGCCCCCCCCCCAGTCCCCCGTGAGTTTCTTGGCCCAGCTCAGTTAACATAAAATCTCCTTATCACAATGTGCTTCTCCTGGACCAGTCTCTCCTGATGACATGTCAGAGTACACGAGGCCAAGTGTCCCCGTCCTTCCTTCTGAGAAGCCTTCTGGCTGTACTTCCTCCGAGACAGGTCGGCTTGCTCTTCTGACCGTCCGCAGTCATTCGACGCTCTACTCAACAGTCAACATGCTGGTGGAATGTGAATATTCGACATTCTCCAAGGAAGACTATCTGGCAGCCCATTCTCTGCCAACTCGGTCACTGTTTTCCTTATGCACACACGTGTGCCTCTGTGGGGAGGCGCTGTCCAGTGGGTTCTGACCACAGCGACCCCGTGGACGGCGGAACGAAACGCCGCCCAGTGCTGCACCCGCCTCAAGGTGGGTCTTGTATCAGAGCCCATCGCTGCAGCCACAGTGTCAATCCATCTTGTAGAAGGCCTCCCTCTTGTTTGCTGCCCTCCATGTTACCAAACAGGATGTCCCCCTCCAGGGACTGGTCTCTCCTGACGGCGTGTCCAAAGAGCACGAACCGAGGTCCTGCCATCCTCAGCCTCTAGGACTGTGCTTGCGGTGCGTCTTCCAAGACAGAGCTGTTTGTTCTGCCGGAACTTTCCATCTGCCCCGCCAGCTCCATCTTTCAAATGCACGTCCTCCGAGACAGGTCTGTTTGTTCTTCTGCCAGTCCGTGGTACAGTCAACATTCTGCTTGTTTTCATTAAAAGATCATTTTATCGGAGCTCTGACAGCTCTTACAACCATCCACCCGTCAACTGTATCAAGCCTGTTTGTACATATGCTGCCATGGTTCTTTTCCGAACAT